ACTAACTCACGGCATGTCTGAATGGCTCATTCTAACATAGGACCACAAGGAGTCCCATGTACCCTGGATAGTGTATGAGAGGTGGTGGTCCTAGGAGGGACCTTTTGGGGGCACTTGACATAGAATTTTTTCAGCCAAACACCCCATGTCTGCTAAAGTGTTGAATTTCATTTCCTTTTCCCATCATGACAGGGACATATAGACAGTACTGGAGTAGGTTGAGAGACACCATTCTTCATTGTATTCACTTTCTTCTTTAGAACTAACGAACTGGCAAAATTATGGCCCCTCTTCCAGAGACCCTTGGGATTCTGGTTTCTATTTACCTTGTCCAGAAAGGTATTCACTCAGCCATGTTTAGCTAATCAAATGTTTTTCTAAGTCTTGATAAACATTCATAATGGCTGCCAGATGCCATAGGATCTGGTAGCAAGACTTATTGGCAGATCCAAGTGTGACAGCCATGTTCAAATCCACACAGATTTGATGAGATAACAATGTTATTTCCTTTTGCCATAAGATGAGTTGAGAACAGAGACAAAGGGATTTACTACATTGCCTGGAATTGTCTGGAACTTGCCTTTCCACTTGATTATGAGATTCTGGGCAAAAGAGACTACATTATATCCCTTGAAGTACCTGATATTTAACTAATGCTCAACAAATATTTATTATGAAATTTGTAATCATTGCATTTAGTGTTTTTGTTATACTCTGTGAAATGTGTTCAAGTGTTTTGAATTTATGAATAACATACCTTAGGCTTCTGAGAGTCAGCTACACTTAAATGTTTTCCTGTGGAGTAAATACAGGAGTTTGTTGATGAATATAAAAGTCCCTGTATTTCACTCTTGGTATAGAGATACCTGCCTGTTTGTTATGCTGCTTGCTCATCATTTTATTTTAAAGAAAGAAAAAATCAGCAAAAACAATACACTCATGTGACAGTCGTAGAAAAAATACTTTTAAAACTAGGGAAACATTGGATGACCCATTTAACTTTTTTTGTTAGCACCAATTCCTACACCCATTGAAAATTGTATAGTTTTCAGCTTAAAGAATGAAAATAATAGCCATCTTTTTTAAAGGAGAAAAGATTATGCTAGGTTTGAAAATCTTATGTATGGAAATTTGACCCATAACTTTTTCTTTGTGTCAGATCTACAGTAGTCCCAGTGTCAGACTAAAAGAGTCATGGTGTTTGAGCACTCTCTACACAAACACTGCCTTGACTTTCTGAAATTTCAGATCTCTGAGGTGCTGCCATGAACAAAATTAGGCCGAAAAGGGGCTTGTTTTGCAGACAGTTTAGGGAGAAATCATGCAACTGCAGATACCTTGTCATCTGTGCATGCCTTATGTCCAGACCTGTTTCTTACCTTGCTTAGCACTTGATGTGTTATTACAAAGAGCATGAGCTGATGATCCTACCCAGAATCCAACTGGGGAACTCTGACCAGCTGAAAAAAATGACTGTAAATTTTGAATCAGGAAGTTATTTTCCTCCTCTCAGGTCTTTTCTCTATTTCCTATGGAACTTCTCTCAGAGCAAATTAAGATAATCACATAGTTAAAAGCCCAGGGGACTCAGCATTCTTCTATTTTCACTAAGTGTTTTTAAATAAAAAGTAAGAGTTGGCTTCTCTCCTCATTGTTTCATAACTCTCTGGACTTCCGTGGTAGAAGCCAAGAGGGAGAGTCTTTGAAACCATTCTCTTGCAGATATTGTTGAAGGTGAGGAAGATTAGAACCTGCCCCAATAACAAGCACCTGGGTGGCTCAGAGAAAGTCTCGCAATCTGGCAAAATCCAATATTTAAAAAAAACTGAAGTTAAAAATATAGAAGTAGAATCATAGTTGTAGTAAGGCATTACCACCCTCACCCTTACACATGTTATCAGTGACATGGGCCTACTCTAGTTTCCTTGATTCCCAAAGAAAGTTCTTCCCAAGTGGGAAGCTGGAACCATCAGTTAATTTCCAAAGGTACCTGAAAGCTAGAGCTGTAAGGGGGCTTCTTATGCTTGTTTCAGTAGGGAAGAAGCAGACATCCATTGCTTTTGGACACCGTGGGAGTTGGACAAATCAGTCTAGAGCAGCAACAGTAGCAGTGAAGAGAGGTCAGTTTTGCATGCTAGAAACAGAAATTCCCCTCAAAGTTTCAGGACCTCATTAGAAAACTTCATTGTACTCCCTTAGTGTTATATGGTAGGGTGTCTTGGAAAAGACATTCTTTGAATAGTGTATATCCAAATGGAGATAAAAGGATGTATAGCAGAGCTGATACCTGGGACCTATAATATTAATCCACATGCTTTCCATAGAGTACATCCATTTCTCTGTGGTTCATATTGTTTTCTTGCCATGATGTATTTATAGGGAATGGTCTTACTAGGTGATGGGGGGACTATTCTGAGACAAGGCAATATGCTTTTCTTAACAGAAAGCAGTTCTATTGCTAAGGAAAAAAGTTGATGCAAATGGTCTTGAATCTGGAAGTTCCATCCCAGTTCCTAGTTGATCGGGTAGCTACAACCATAAGAGAGGGCACATAACTAACTTAGTGTTTGAACATTTAATTAAGCTTCAGAAAGGTTTAACATTTGTGTGAGAAGAACTTTACTGGAACCTCAGTCCAGTTTTTCTTTACAAAAGATAAAGGAACCATCTTCTTAACTTTTTGGATTTCATTATTTTCATAAATTTTTGCTGTTTTTTTTTTTAATGTTTCTAATGGTTTCTAATGTGAATCAAACTCAGGGCCTCAGGCCCTACTACCCCACTGAGCCACATCCCCAGCCCAACTTTTTGCTTTTTTTTGTGATTCAGTGTTCCAATAAATGTGCTGATTGGTCAGTTTATTAGGCATCAGTCAGTTGTGTTATCTGATTGAATTTGCCAAAGACTTTGAATGGTAGTCCTAACTAATATATTTGTTTATCTGGTTAGGTCATATTCTTATCCCTTGATAAAAGTGTATTCATCAGAATAATATATTTTTTTCCTTTTTTAGTGGGACTGGGGTTTGAACTCAGGGCTTCACTCTTGCAAAACAGGTACTCTGCTACTTGATTCATGCCTCCAGTCCATTTTACTCTGGTTACTTTGAAGAGGCCATTTGCCCAGGCTGGCCTCGAACCACAATTCTCAGGCTCTCAAGTAGCTAGGATTACAGTGTGAGCTACAGGTATCCAGCTAGATACTCTTGATTTATGTGCCAATGAAAGGAGAAACTGATCAAACACAGAATTGAAAGTTAATGAAAAGACAAGTTGGCAACTGTACTATGTTTTCCAAAGTTTTAAACGGTGGTGGAAATACTAGATTTTAGTATTAAAAATAAAGGTTTTCTGGGTTTTTTTCATTTTAATCATTTTGGCAAATTCAGATACTTTTCACGTAATATCTGAATATATAAATATAATTTCTTCAACATTTTCTTATGTCTGAGTGTACTCTATTTTTAGATATTTCAGCCCTACTTTTGCAACCATCTTTAACATTAAAAACATTAAGTCCTACTCTTCAAAGCTGTTTTCCATCCTAAAGGTGGGACTCCCAAGGTAAGGCCCAGAAACAACTGAGATTGATGTGATGTATAAATAATTACAATTCTAAGTAACTGGGACACAAATTTTCTATAGGCATCAAAGAGCAATATTTTAACATGATGTTAAATGTTTGTGTATCATACTGACTTTTATATTCCTTGTCAAAATATATTTGTATTTTGAAATTATTGTGTATTTAGGTGACTTGCGTTATCTAGAGGGCTGGAATTATCTTAAGAAAGCTTTCATGACAAAGTATTATAAGCTTTGTAAATAGTTTTTATACATTGTCCAGTCATGCCTATTTGTCTTACAAAAATCTGCAACAATTCTGCTGATAATTTTCAGCCTTTATTCTTTCCACCTCTAATCTTTTTCCATCTTCTCCATTCCATCTTCCTGACCCAACAGGTATAAACTATGTAAGATTCCTCAGCAGGAAGATTCCAATAAAAATCAAGAGGTAGAGTCTATCTGAGCCATCACGAATTCCACTCCTTTTTGTAGATTTTTTTTCTTCCTTTCTTTTTTTTTTAAAGGCACACCTTTGACTTCTTTTGTTGTTGTTAACATGAACCAGATTGTAGTTTCAGACAGCAAGCCAGTTGTTTTAAAAAAGCCAATACTCAAAAATCAATGAGTTATTAGTTTTGTTCACCTATGAAATCAATTAGATTTTTCCCTCTCAAATGACTAGTGATTCTATTGAGTCAACCTAAAAAAGCAAAATGCCTATTGTCGTCATTACCTGCCTGTCCTCAGTATGTGGCATGGCAGTACAATTGTCAGTGAGGTGCACTGACATACCAGATTTCTTTTCCAGTTGGTCAGAGATCTCTCCTCCTCACTTCAGAACTGTAGAACAGGAAGTATTAAAGCATTGGCCCAAGACAATGCTGCCATATCAGGAAGGGCAGAGGTGTGAACTCGGATCACGATCCTCTCAGATGAATGCCTCAGGAGCATCTCCCGATGCTCTGGGATTGATGTGGAAACCTGATGTAAGAAAAAGACTTGGAAATCCTATCTCTGGCTCCTCTCACTTCTCCCATGACAGAGATGTTTCATTGCCACCAAGCTATGTTCTGAGTTTGTTTTTCCTTTAAGTGATCTTATGAGGCCAGTCAGTGAGGACATCTGTCTTGATTAATGATCATTCTATAATATCTGGATACAGTGGTATGTCATGAGTTTTTGACAAAGAAAGTTAGGCTTTGAAAGACATTTCACATTAGATACTCTCAATGAATTAAAATGCATTTAAAAGATACTCTGGGAAACCTACTAAGTAGGCCAATCAATTAATCATTAGCTAATTGTCAAAGCCTATAAAATCATGGTATCATGTCACTGTGACATAAAGCAACATCAAAATTAGTGCATCATCTATAAAATGAAGTATCATTTGCCTCCAAGTGACAAATTCTATGCCAAAAAATACCACTGTACTTGTAGTAAGTGACACTCGTTTTAATAGATCCTACAAAAATACAATATTTTCAATGTCCCCATAAAACATTAACTTACAAATATTATTCTCAGAGCTCTGGTGACATCACTATATCTCTATTGTAAAATCTCAATGGAATATTTGAAGCACTCATGTAAAGTAAAATGCATTATATAAAAATCAGCTATGTAGAAATATGAAAGAATGGGATATTATTCTTGAATTTCAAATTAATATTTTAATCTTTAATGACTAATATAAAGAAATACTTCAAAGGATTATAAAATGAATTTTGATCACTTATAGAGGAAAACAGTTCTAATGTAAAAGTAAATAATTCTACATTGACTCCACTTATTTTTCTCTCTAGTGAAACAGCATTCAGAATTTTATATACCTTGAACCTTTTTTTGGAAAAAAGTATTTTATCTCTTTCTGTTAAGAAAACAGGCATTGAAATTAATAGTACAGATAGTACACAGCTCTGAGAAATCATATTTGAAGTTTCATATTTAAATACCAAAGTTTTTAAATCATCCACCATAACTTTCTAACAAGTCTTTCTTAATAATGAATTTTATCAGTTCCTCAAATTTGTTTTAAATGACTTAAAAGTAGCAAATTAACTAAAGCATCACACAAAGAAATTCCACATTTACAAATAAAGAAATCACAGGGGCTACAAGTTTATACTTAACATAAACTTGAAATAAATAAAGCAATACCTTTCCTGCCACCCATCATTCACTGCTTAAATTTGTGGTGGAAAGACTTATCTATAAAGACCTTTAGTCTGTTTCTTACCTCTCCATGTATTGTAATTAGCTAAAGGCATTGAACAAGCTAGTTTGTACTATTTTTATTCAGGTCCCAGAGATAAATGGATAATTTCTGAAATATTTCACTCTGTGTTATGAGAATTTAGCAAATGAATATGGAACCAGATATAAACACTTTATACCATATATACAGTTACTTTCATAAGGCATTATCATGTAATTTTTATTGAAAAAGATTCATTATAGTAAAGTCTTATTTTAAGATATATTTTCTTTCTCAATCCAAGATGTTTAGTTTATGAAAATATTTTTTCTCTATATTCTTTTTTGTATATATGCCAACATATACCTTGTGCTAGAAATATTTAATGGGAATTACAATTCTTTATATTTGTATTTTCTATATAAAGGCATATACAACTTTGAGGCAGTGTTTCTGATGGAGAGCAGAATTTGTAAAGAGCTTGTGTGTGCTTCCGTGCTCCGAAATTATGTGAAATCCACTTTGAGAAGAAACTTATTTGATTAAAAAACAAAAACAAAAACAAAACTGCACCAATGCACAGCCAGAGGCTGACAATTAAAACTAATACATAACCACATGAACATCATATTTATAGAGTTAACATTTTTAAGGATGATCAGTGCTAACATATAGTATTATACATTTGGCACTAATGTTTGCCATTGGTCCAGCAATTGGCAAAATTTGTTTCTATGTATAAATTTATTTTTGAACATTAGCTCTGGCTAGATGTATCTTCACTATTTATAAAAAATATTTAGACAGTAAGCTCACGTTGAATAACTAGGTCTACTGTGTTCTGGAAACTCTTCAGTAGTAAAACAGCTTTTTCATGTTCCATATGTACAAAACTGTGTCCATTTGCCTGCAAATATACAAATAAAACAGATCAGTCAATGCAAACAATTTGTTATCTCATTGTTTCTTAGTCATAAGATTCAAGGGAGTGTGAAGCAACAAAAAGTTACCAATTTTTAAAATTCACAGTGGAATTGCAACTATGGAAGTAACTGATTTTATCTACTTATTAATTCAACAAGTATTTATCAAACAACTAATCTCTCCTTGACTGATGTAGATCAGACAGATGTATTTGAGACACAGTAGTTCAGTTTTGCTATTTCTCTCTCTCTCTCTCTCTCTCTCTCTCTCTCTCTCTCTCTCTGTCTCTGTGTGTGTGTGTGTGTGTGTGTGTGTGTTTCTGGGGATCAAAGCCAGGGCCTACTGCATGGCAGGGCAAGCTCTCAGTGAGCTACACAAACTCTGCTATTGTGATTTGGTTTTACAGGAGCCTTTGTTGAGATGGTTTAGGAGGGTACACATGGCTTTTATATTTGTTTTATATAATTGCTGACATAAAACCCTGAGTATATCACATATTTTAATCACATCAAACATATCTAGACTCTTTAAGTACTGCTAAATCTTATTTTGATCCACAGGAAATTTCTTGGCTTATAAATTATATTAAAGAAATATTTTTAATGTACTTTATTGCAAAATGCAACTATTTTCATTATCTACATCAGTGAGTCTTAACCCAATCCAATACCCCTAAGGGATAAACCCCTCAAGGACACGCACACTGGCATTGGTAATAAGATGTCTCCCATCCTCTAGCTAAGAATCATCAGTGTAAGTCATCAAAATTCATTTCAAACGTAATTAACATAGGGCAACAATTTCAGAATCCAGCTGGTCCCTATTTGATATTTATGTCAAGAAACATGCATCCTAGAACTCTATAATGAGGGCTCATGGTTCTTTGGTTTTCTGTACATTAAACTGCAAATTGTTTTATTGGCATAGTTTTTATATTAATGTATAGAGAGGTGGGTCCCATGTGCTTTCAATGCCATAAAGGCCAAATTAAAACAAACTTATTGAAACTTGATAGGAATACATTTTGGCAGGCCAACAATCAATAATTACATAACTTTTTCTTTGCAGTGTGAGACTCAGTTGATATGGGAAAAAAAGAATCAGTCAAATTGACTGCTTGGCAAAGTACAGAATTAGAGTCAGCTAAGTAGTTGATACATTCAATTTTCAATGGACTGATAAACTTATTTTGGGCACACATTGCCTTTACTATTTTATTTACTCTTTTTTATGCTTTCTTGAAATATTAATATTTCAAACAACTGCTCTTAATTGTAAAAGTTAAAATGTTTTACTGTGTTTACCTCTTTCAAATTACAAATAGCATTACATCTTTAGCAATACTGTATAAGCTTTATAACATAAACGAAAGTCATCTGATATCTAATATTTTATCTCTAGTTCATTAAAATTGATTGATGTGATAAAGAAGGTTCTAAAATATTGCTTTTTAAATTATAGTGCATCTACCAATAAGGAAAATACTAGGAAACAAAATATAAACCCTTGGAAATTCCTATACTTAGAAGTACAAATTAGCTTTGAATTAATGAAATCCTAAATATTTCTTAATAATGTTTAATCAATGAAAATACTGATTGAAATTGCCATTGGCTGTGTTGGTGGCAGGAGACAGTTGTTAAGTAGAATATTTTGTGTGTTAACTCAGATTTTTTATTTCATGTTACAGTAAAAAAAATCAGACAATAGGGTTCTATTTGGTATTATTGCTGGTTAGTTCTAGTTTTATTCTACTGTGGTCAGACGGTATTCAGGGATTATTTCAATTTTCTTATATTTATTAAGACTTTCTTTGTGATCTAAAATATGTTCTATTTTGGAGAAAGTTCCATAGGCTGATGAGAAGAATGTATATTGTGCTGTTTCAGGATAGAATACTCTGTAGATGTCTGTCAGGTCCATTTAATTGATGGTATTATTCAGTTCTAGAGGTTTTTTTTGTTGATTGTTTGTCTGAATGACCTATTTATTGATTATAGAGGAGTATTTAAGTCTCCCACTACCACTGTGTTGGAGTCTATCTGTGTTTTTTAATGTGTTTGATGAAGTTGGATGTACTGACATTGGGTGCATATAAGTTAACAATTGTTACTTCCTCTTGCTTTCTTGCTCCTTTTATTAGTATGAAGTGACCTCCTTTGTCTCTTCTGACTAATTGAGGTTTGAAGTCTACTTTATCTGTTATAAATACAGCTGCTCCTTCTGTTTTGGGGGCCATTAGCTTGGTAAGTCTTTTTTTCCACTCTTTCACCTTAAGCCAATGTTTGTTTCTGCCTGCAAGCTGGATTTCTTGTAAACAACAAATTGTTGGTTCTTCCTTTTAAATCCATTTTGCCAATTGTTGTCTTTTGATGGGAGGAGTTGAGGCCATGGTGACAGAAAGCACCACATATAGTACATTCTTCTCTCTAGTCTTTTCCTATTTCTGACATCAGGAAAATAGCAAACTTGCAATATATATATATATTCCACTATGGTTTTGAAGGGTATGTTAACTACCTTAATTCCTTCAATTAGTGCCAAAGGTATATGTGAATTATGAAATTAGAATTTTGTTTTAATAAAGGAGTTCTCAAGTGTCAAAACTTCATAATACCTTTGTGAGTACTCAAATTCCTTTATCCACAGTCTCAAACCTAAGATTGCAATGAATCCAAATCCCACTGAAAAAATTCGGGGAATTGTTTGAAATTTAAATATCTCAGAGTTTTAAGGATAAGGAATTCTCTAGGTTTGGAGGCTGTAAATGATATTTTGTTCATCATTAGATTTGGTATAATATTGATGCTGCAAAAAGATATCAGTATTAAGGGCATGAATAATAAAAACAAATTAGTCACAACTTTATTTTGAATGATACATTTACTTAAAGATCTTCAAAGAAGGTTGATCCACTTCTAGTATGATTATTTTTTTCATCTGTTTAATTAAAAGTATCTGTTGTATGCTGACTGCCCACAGCAATGTGGGAGGCATTAGAGATAGAAGCTAAGAAATAGATGAACAGGGAGGCTCTCATCAAAGAGAGGGCTATTCAGAAAAGGAAATAAGTCATGAACAAAATGTGATGCTTTGCCCACAGTAAACACTCAACAAATACTGAATTAATCTCTGAAGAGGTAAAGCACTGTGGTAGCTCAGAGGAAGGCAGGGGAGAAGGCAAACTTCCAAGGAGGCTGTTTCTCTGAGGCATGTACCAAATGTTCTGGAACTCAAGTGTCCTGGCAAAAGTGATGACTGGTCAAGGAAAAATCATAGCCCTGTCTCATTCCTGGTGTCTCATTCAGGTTGCATATGTGAACAGTTGGCCACTCATATAACTTCCACAATAGTCCTTGCAGGGAAAATAATTTTTCTTCTTTTCATTTTAGATTTATTTTTAAATCATAAAAACATAAAAATTGTACATATGACAGGGTGATGTCATGTTTTGATACACGTATGCATTGTGTAGTATTTAAATCAGGTTAAATATATCTATCTCCTCAAAAACTTATCATTTCTTTATCTTAAAATTTTCTTTTATTCATATTCTTAAAACTTTCAAAATCTTTTCTTTTAGCTTTTTGAAATATACAGTACATTATTGTTGTCTGTAGTCATCCTACTGTGCAATAGCACAATAAAAATTCTCATTCCTATCTCACTGTAACTTAGCACTTACTGATCAATCTAGTAAATGAGTTCTAATTGGTCCTTGTATGTAATCATCTTTGTAAGAATTTTTAAACTCACACAAAAAAACTTATCTGTGAGTTTAGACCTTAGGCTTTAGCATAAGAAGAGACAGGAAAAAGGTTGAGTGGAAACAGAATATAGAAACTCAGTCAGGAGAGCCTTCTCCTTTCACCCTTAGAACAAAAGCGCAAAAGGACACATGTATGTAAATTCAAAATGATACCTGGTAAAACTACTCCAGGAATCTGGGGGGGAGTGGAAAGGAGAATGGTATAGGGGGTGAATTCATGTATGATATGTTTGATACATTGTAAGAACATGTGCATATGTCATAATGTACCCCTACCCAGCACAAAAATAAAGGAAAAATAGAATTTACACTGTATCTATTAACATGAATATGGCTATCTGGCTTATATCTTAGATGGTTCAGACAGGGAATAGATTAATTATGTTATTTCATTTCTAGGATTTTTCTGATGAAAATAAAGATCAGGAAAATCCCAGTATTTTGAGTAGTAAAGTTTGTGGTGATTTTGTGTGTGAGAATAGAGAGAGGCTGAGGAAATAAATGCTGGTCCTATGCATTATCAATTGCAGAGTATTAATTAAATGTTGCTTTGAAAAATACAGACATATGACATCTTCATAATATAATATTTTAAATATATGCACAACCTAAATGCAAAATAAGATAAATGCTAAATTAATGAAAATTTAAAATATTGCTAGATTTGGTCAAATATGTTTTATATAAACACATTATCAAATTCAAATAAAATGTGTAATTTTGAGGAAATTGCAAGTTAGTGAAAAATGAGAAACAAATGAGTGGCTTATTAAGTTCCAGTGAAGTTAATAAGAAAACAGTCTAGGAAGTAAAAAGTTATTCTGAAAATGTTATGCATCAAGAATATGTAATTAATGGGTTTCTAGTACCAGCTGATTTGAAAGTATGAAGGCACATTTTTTTTACTATAATCTTTGTTATTTTCAGAAGATATCTCTTCTTATTTTAATTCCATTTGACATTTTCTGCACTGAAAAATGTTTTTAATTTCCTTCCTCTGCAATTTAGACATAAAAAGACTGAGGGTTAATGAAAATAATATTTGCAATTCCAACTGTAAGTACAGCTTTGTGATTATGGCGTCAGTTTACTGTGAAACACACTTGGTTTCTGAATTTCTTCCTCTTGTTCCTTCCTGGATTTATCTTTGACTTCCTTCTGGCAAATGTTTTGTTAAGTGAATATATTATGGGTGTTTATACTGCAGAAACTTT